GGGTCCCCGAGGTGCTCCTGGGGTGTCTCCAAAGGGCCCCTGGGGGTTTGGGGGTCCCCGAGGTGCTCCTGGGGGTCCCCAAAGTGCCCCCCCGGGGGTCTGGGGAAAGGCAAAGGTCCGAGGGCCCATCCGGCCCCTCCCAGGGCAGAGTCCAGGGCGGTGTCACCTGAGCCAGGTGTGTCCCTGAGCCAGGTGTGTCCCTGTGCCAGGTGTGTCACCCCCTCCCCATTTCCTGTATCCGGGGGGGTCAAAGTCCACTCCCCACCCTGGGAGGGGCCGGAAATGGGGGGGCCCACGTGGGGGGGGTATAAAGAGCCCCCCACGTTGTCACCGCTGTCCCCAGTGCCACCAGTGCCACCAGTGCCACCAGTGCCACCAGCCATGGCCTTCGTCCCCGCGCCCGGGTACCTGCCCTCCTACAACCCGGTGGGTACCCCAAAAATGGGGGGGGGGGCTGGGGGGCACCCCAAAAATGAAGGGGGCGGGGCTCAGGGTCCCTGTGACCCCCCTGCCCCCTCAGGGACAGGGCTGGGGTCCCTGTCACCCCCAAACTGGGTTTTGGGGTTGTTGTCACCCCTTGGCCCTGCAGGTTTTGGGGTCCTGGGGGTCCCCATGTCCCCCTCCCCCAATGTTGGGGTCCTGGGGGGTCCCCGTGTCCCCCCCCGGGGACATTTCGGGCCCCCCTGACCCCGTGTCCCCCCCCAGCCCCTGCCCTACGTGGCCCCCGTGCCCGGGGGGCTCCATCCCGGGATGGCCATTTACGTGCAGGGGGTGGTGGCCCACCACGCCAAAAGGTACTGGGGGGCACTGGGGGGGCACTGGGGGGGCACTGGGGGGAGTGAGGGGAATTTGGGGGGCTCTGGGGACTCAGGGGGGGGGACTGGGGGACACTGGAGGCACTGGGGGGTCCCAAGGTGGTCTCAGGGGGTCCCGGGGGGGTCACCAATGTGTGTCCCCCCCCCAGTTTCTGTGTGAACCTGGCCGGGGGCCCTGAGGAGGGGGGGATACTGGGGGGCACTGGGTGGCACTGGGAGGCACTGGGTGGTCTCGGGGGGACACTGGGAGGCACTGGGGGGCACTGGGGGGCACTGGGGGGTCCTGGAGGGACATAGGGGGACACTGGGGAGTCCCGGGGGGGTCACCAACGTGTGTCCCCCCCCCAGTTTCTGTGTGAACCTGGCCGGGGCCCCCAAGAAGGGGGGGATACTGGGGGGTACTGGGGGGCAATGGGGGGCACTGGGAGGCACTGGGTGGTCCCAGGGGGACATGGGGGTGTCTGGGGGGGTCACCAAGGGTTGTCCCCCCCAGTTTCTGTGTGAACCTGGCTGGGGGCCCCAAGGAGAGGGGAACATGAGGGGGCACTGGGGGGTTCCAGAGTGACACTGGGGGGCACTGGGAGGCACTGGGTGGTCCCGGGGGGACACGGGGAGGCACTGGGGGGTCCCGGGTGGTCTCGGGGGGTCCCGGGGGGGTCCCCAATGTGTGTCCCCCCCCAGTTTCTGTGTGTACCTGGCGGCGGGCCCCGAGGAGGGAGGGACATGGGGGGCACTGGGTGGTCCCAGGGGGACACTGGGGGGCACTGGGTGGCCCCAGGGGGACATGGGGGGACACTGGGTGGTCTCAGGGGGGTCACCAATGTGTGTCCCCCCCCAGTTTCTGCGTGAACCTGGCCGGGGGCCCCGAGGAGGGGGCGGATCACAGGGGCACTGGGGGGCACTGGGGGGCACTGGGGGGTCCCGGGGGGACACTGGGTGGTCTCGGGGTGTCCCGGGGGGGTCACCAACGTGTGTCCCCCCCAGTTTCTGCGTGAACCTGACCGCTGGCCCCGAGGAGGGGGCGGACGTGGCCCTGCACGTGAACCCCCGTTTCTCGGGGGGGGTCCTGGTGCTCAACAGCCGCCGGGGGAAGCACTGGGGGGAGGAGCAGCGCCAGGACCCCCAACCCCTGCACCCGGGGGGGCCCTTCGAGCTCGTCATCAACGTCACCCCCCACGGGTACCGGGTACGGGGGGCACGGGGGGGAGAGGGGCTCCTGGGGGGTTGGGGGGGCTAAAGGGGGGTTTGGGGGTCCCTAAAGGGGGATTTGGGGTCCCTAAAGGGGGT